ATGGAAAGCTAAAAGACTGGTGGACACTGTCAGTTGAGAAAAAGTTTAATGAAAGGGCGTTCTGTATGGCAAAGCAGTACAATGACATCACCGAACCTCAAACTGGTGAGCACCTGCGTGGAGTGCTAACTTTAGGCGAGAACTGCGCCGACAACGGCGGAATAAAGGTAATGTCAGAGAGTTCAGTCCGAATCTCTTATTGCTTTTGTCTCCTATTGAGCACCAAAAAAAGAGAGATCTGGCTGTTTTTCAGTTTTGGAAAGACTCACAAATATTAAAACTTTTTTCATTTTTATTGTAGGAAGCATTCGGCGCCTACCAAGCACATAAAAAGAAGGTCCGCGACTCCAAAGTGTTGCCTGGGCTGAAGTTTTCACCCGATCAACTGTTCTTTGTTTCATATGCTAATGTAAGTAAAAATGCATTTTTAGCAGCAAATGACACATTTTAACAACTTTAAAACTTTATAGATTTGGTGCCAGGCAATTACCGAAAAGAAACTCAAAGACAACATTATGATAGATCCACATGCTCCTAATAAGTATCGAGTGAATGTGGTGCTGGGCAACTTTGATCAGTTTTCCAAAGCATTCAACTGTCCAGCTGGCTCAAAAATGAATCCAGTGAACAAGTGCTCTATTTGGTAGGACGCTGATTTGGATACTGTGGTGACACCCTCTGCACCAGACCAGTGTACACCGACACTCCCAGTCAACTCATTTGCCACTAACACACATCACACTTACTCATCCTTCTCTATCACTCACTCACCCTGTATATAAGCTCACTTTTGAAAGTCACTCTATATCTCTCCACTCTCTTTCCTCATTCTTGTCACTCTTAATTGTCAATCCTAATAAACCAGTTTTCACAGCACTACAATATTATTTTTCAATTTGGTATTTGTTGCAAAAGCATCAGACTTTGTTAATGAGCTGATAAACTTTGATTGCCTTTAAGACTCAACTTCAATATAAATGCAGTTGATAAGTAGGAAAAAATGTGTGCTCTATTTTGTCAAGATAAATAAAAACGGGTAAATTTAAAAAAGTAAATGTTAAAAATAAAACTAAATGTGATGATAAACAAAAACAGGCATTTGATAAGTCGAGATATTTTAAAAAACAATCAAGTAAATTTTTTTTATGTTTTAAAAATATTGCACATAAATTCAACAACTAAATGTGTTTAGCAATGTTGGGATTTTTTGAACAAATGTTTTTACTGATTTGTGAACATCAGTTCAGTAAATAAATTATTGCAAATATGTCCTTCAAGTATTTTTGACAAACAAAATGTAACCAGCATCTGTCAACAAGTGAAGGGTTTTTTTCATAAAACTCAATTGCTTAGACGCACATACATTTTATTCGCTTACGCACAAAAAACTATCACATTCATTTTTTTAATTTAATCAAGCATGCACTGAAATATGCCAAAAATTGTACATTAACTCAATTGATTACAAATAATTTCACTTTCTGTTGCTTTTTATCTGTCATGATAATTTTGACTTGGTATGAAAATGTTTATAAAAAATGTTGGTGTAGCATTTCACTCTGACAAATGTATGGTATAAATGTAACGTAGGAGTCTTTTTGGATCGAGA